ATTCTAATTTGATCAATAATAAGATCAAATATAATGATCAGAATTACTATTCATAATTTTTCTTCAGAAAAATATGATATTTTGATTATTAATTCCTATATATCTCAAATATAAATTCATTCAAGACGCACGAATTGAAGAATAAAATATCATATTATTATTCTTATCGCCATAGTAATTTCGGATTTTCAGATCAAGAGAAAAAGATATATAAAAAAAATTTGATTAATATTCGTACGATAGAATCATAATTTGATATATAATTAATATTTCTAATATGATCTAAATACGCAAAATGGATAAATCAATATATTTTTTTTTATTGCCGTCGGGCACCGTCGGTATCCCGTGGGCGACGCCAAGAACTACAAATACGCTGAATAATCGACGACCAAATCTACCTACTTTGAGACACCGAAATCGTATTGATATCGTCATTTTATAATAGCAAATAATAATATGAACAATAATAATAGTACTAAGAATATTATCGGAAATAATAATCAGAATAGAAGAAAAATACAATGACTATGAATATTCTAGAACTTTTAAATATAATCATAACTAGAATTATATATATTGATATTATTATTATCATTATTATTTGCTTGCGTAAAATCTATACCATTATGTTCCATTTTATCGATTTTACGGTAGTACCTGTGTTCGAAATATACATCAATAAATCGCATATTTATTTCATCATATCATGATTCTTTGTTCACTTGTTATATCAGATTTATAAATGGCAATTCTATGTGCGGGTAGTTTTGGATTTCCTATAGATTTCAGATATCAAAATTTCGGAAGTCTGGGAGATTCGTTTGAATCAGTAATTCCGAGATTCGAAATGTATGATCTAATTCGGTTAAGCGAAACGTTATCGATTTAGCGTATTTTTATACATAAACCCTCCACCCTAATTGTTTTCCTGATTCTAAATCTATCGGATCAGGCTCGCTGCGCTTACTGCATCGGCGCCTGGCAGCCAAAGTCTAGAAGGTTCCATTCAATCTTCAAGGGTTGGAGTGGGGGTTAGACACCGTTGGGCTTAGGGTTGAGGGTTTAGGGTTTCAGACAAGAGTTTTGGGGATATTCTGTTATACTTACAATCATACGAGGGGCTGCAAGAAACTACTATTTTATTATTAATCTTTGACTTTTCCGGCTTCATTGCCTAGGTTGGCCGTCTGAAGCCCCTGAAAAAACCTCGCAAAGACTGTCCTCCGAAGCCAAGCATGGGAAATCTAAAATATCCCAAAGGCTGCCCTACGGTTGATGATATAAATCCTGCATTACCTTGATGACCCTAGACTATGGGAATTATCGTATATTCCTTAATATGGGTATTGCAGTAATGCAGGATTTGTATCATCAACAGTAGTTACCGGGTTCAACCCTAAACCCTAAAGCACATGGAGGTTTCAGATCGGGTCACCCGGTTTCCGGACTGCGATCTCACGACTCATCCCAAGAGTATCCAAGAGTCCTGAAAGCTGCAAGGGTCTAACACCATGGAGCAAGCTTGCACACTACTTGGAGGTTCAGGGGCAGTTATAAGTAGGGTTACAAGTCCCTTAATATTGGTTATAAGTGTAATAGTTACCCTACTTATAACCCTACATATAGCTACCCGTGAAAATCCAAGTGCAGTTGTAGGCGGCCCCAAAGTCTAAGTCTAAGCGTGTAAAAACCTGAACCATCATACGCTAAATCCTACACCCTAAATCCTAGACCCTGCTAAACCCTCAGCCCGAAATCCTAATGTAGCTATCAAGGCCCTCAAGCACCGCATACGCTCAGCATACAGTGAGATGGGATCCAGGGAGAAGGCTTCTTGCAAATTTGAGCAGCTTCACCTGACCTGCTCCTGGTCAACACCATGTCCGTTAGGACTCCCTTACTCACAAGCCCTGAGAATACAAAAACGCAAACCGGTAACCTCAAACCCTAAACCCAAACCCTAGAACCCTAAACCCTAAAGTCCTAAAGCGCTAAACTCGAAAGGCCTCCCATGTGCAAAGGCTGCGGGGTCCGCCGTGCAGGCTGGCTAAAAGCCCGCTTCAGCTGCCTCGGTGCGCGGAATTGTTTTCACGATGGAAGAGGTTTCGGTTTAGGGTTTCTAATATGCCCAGTAACCTAGCAATAAAAAGGGCTCCCTTTTGGGTATTGGGTAACTTTACAAGGCAATGAGGGTACTACCGGGCATCCTAGGTTTAGGGTCGAATAGTTCCAGGGTTTCTAGGGCTTAGAAACTAAAATGCCCGTGGTTTGACTCAAGTTTGGGATGTCGGACAAATCCAAAAGGATCAACAACCAGCCAACGCATCTTGGCTTCTCCGCCCCAAAGACGCCCAAAAGGCATTCCTGTAGCAAACCCCAATGCAAAGTAAAACAAAAAAGGAGAGGAGTAAAACGAAATGGGAACTGTAGAGGTTTGCGTGCGCAAGCCTGGAAAATTGTGGGAACCTGTTTAGGAAAGGTGCCAGGCAACCCTGCACACTCCAGACAACCCTGAACCCACAACACCTGAACCTTGGACCCTGAACGCTCGAGAAGCTAACCCTAAAGCCTAGACCCGATGTAAACCCTAAGCCCCAAACCCCTAAACCCCTAAAGCCTAAACCCAAACCCTTTGGAAGCAAAACCCTCAACCTGAATCCGAAACTCCCTATACCCCGAAACCCTAAACCACAAGCCCTCATTCAGCTCAGCTGCAGCTTCGGGGATGTCTTCGACATGCCCTGAGAGCTTGTAAGGATTGTAAGGTAACTACAAGTCAAGTGTTTGAATAAATAGTAGCCACGAGTATTCCTTGTCAGTCCCACATACACAACATATGCACACATCACGTCCATATATGTATACATGTATGCAGGTATGTACACTAAAAGACGACAAGCCCCTACATTACGGAGAGGGCTCTCGGGAGTTAGGGCTTGAGGGCTTCAAGGAACTTATTGAGGGCCCACTTGAAGGCTTTCGGGATTTAGGGCTTTATCTTCGTCACGGGTTTCGGGCTTAAGGTTTACGATTCAGGTTCAGACTGCTGTTGGGGATCCTGGGCGTAAGTTCACGCGCCACGGGAGGATAAAGATGTGAACTCGAGTTTGTTACCAGACAACTCTACACAATAAAACCCTAAACCCTAAACCTCAATATATACACACCAAAAACCCTAAACCCTCAAAGCCCCGGACCTGAGAACTTCATTTTCCGAATGATACAGAAGCTGAGGCAACAGGGGAAAGCGGAGTTCGCGCTTCTTCCGGCCTGTTGCTTTCCTGTCGGTTTTCCCATTCCCTCGACGAACCGAGTCCGCGTTTTCGGAGAACATGGTATGGTCAGGGCAGAGAGATTGGGGGGCGGAGGTTTTTGTCTTTCTAACTGGTTTCGCCTTGAAGCTTCTTTCAAGCTTCTTCGCGGCTTGCCGTTGGGGAAGTGTAGGATTCGTTGCTGGGGTTGAATTTTTTGGGTGCAGGGATCCACAAAGTTATATCTAGGAGGCCGACAGAAGAAGATTGTAATTATGCAGACCCTAATTCCGAACCCTATAGTAGAAGCCAGAAAGTTGGAACATGGCTTTAGGACGATTACTGCTAGGATCCCTTATGCTTTACCTTAAGGGCATGGGGATAATGATTTTCCAACTTTCTGGCTTCTACTATAACCCGTAACCCCTACCTCCCCTGCAGCTGCCACGGTTTCCAAGTCGGCTTGGCCGACCGGAAGCAACCATTCTCGAAGCCTCAAAGGGAGGATGCAAAGGCAAAGGCAGGCTTAAGGCTGTAGGGCTTTATAGGGCTATCATGCTTGATTGCACGTGCTCCATGCGTCGTTGGGGCTTTATCAGGGAGTTTAACAGGCCTGTACGGCTCTCGGAGTTTTATGGCAAGTGGCATTGTTTTGTTGAGAAGCTCGGGCTGTTTTGAGCGTATAGAAGTTTACGGGTTTGTGATTTGAGTTTCAGACGGGCAGAGACCCCGAATTCAGTTGTAAACTCCCTAGTGTAGAGATTCCCAATAAAGAGAAGCACAAGGGTCGAAGTATGAACGGGGAAGTCAAGCAACCAGAGCCGCTGTCGGACACAAGGCTGATGCAGCCATCGTGGCAAGGCGAAATTGTGACTTTCCGAGCAGTGTACTCAATTACATGCACATATTTAAAGGGGTCCTTATACGGCAGGGATCTTAGTATTCACTGACACTCCCAGTTAATGTGTCTGCACATTTTCAATCAGTCACGCATGCAAGCATGCAACTTTGTGGTCTTGTGCGTATGGGGTAAATGACAAAAAAGGATGCCGACTTTTTCAACAAGGAGGTAAGTTCCTCCTAGAGGGACTAATTGCTGTTTGTGGGTGTGGTATGATCTACTCTGATTATGCTAGAAAATTACCAAGACCCCCCAACTACCCTCTAATATACGCCGAATACCCACTATCAAGGGCCATGAGGACTCCATTAAAGTGCCCTTGCATTGCGGGGTCCTGGTAGGGGTCCCTAAGAACAATATCTCTTGCGATGCTCCTGATCTTCAGCTCAGGGATCTTCAGAGGTAATATAGGGGCCTAAAAAAAGAACAAGGTTTGGGGGAATATTATACTCTAAATATAATCAGGAACCACCGAAATAGTCTCTATTCAAGCCCCTATATAAGCCCAGAATCAGTGCAAGCCTTTCATGATGCCATCATTTCTGAAAACTCGACACCCTGAAGCCCGAAGCCCTACAGCAACAAAAAACAGTGTTTGAGAGCCCTTAAAGAACTTCGGATTGGATGTATATATATATATATATGGGTTCCATTCAGGGCTCCTTTCAGGGATCTATAGGGTTTCCCCTTCAAGGACTCCATTGGATACACAGGAATCCTGAAAAAATGCTTTCCGAGGCCATGGCAATCGGCTCACGCTTGCTTCTCTGGTGGACATGCCCTGGTAGATCCGCCTGGTTCGGGCTTTTGGGTTTCGGGGTTTAGGGCTTTAGGGTTTAGGGGTTTAGGGTGTAGGGGTTTAGGGTTTAGGGCTCAGGGGTTTACGATCTCTGGCTGACAGGGTTTAGGGGTTCAGGTTCTGCAGCTCGGCACATGCGGTTGCTGGCTGGCAGTGTAGGGTTTGGGGTCCACCCGATACTTAAACTCCAAGCTGCAGTACCTCTAAAATCCCAAACCCTGCCTTAGAGCTCTGGTGTCTGCTTCAGGACCCTTCAGAATTCCGAGGCGTGAGGCCTCAGCCTCAAAGTATAAGAATAAGAACTACCTGGACCCCACCCCCCAAAAACACGTTTGCAGGATCCAGGATCCTTGTTATGATTCCCCTGTATCGTGGTTCCTAAGAAATCTAGGTTTGCAAGATAGAGCCGAGGGTGTCGTAGTGTGTATTAGGTATACTCAACACGATCAAGGTCCATTGCAGATTTTGTGAAGTCTGGGTGTAGGGTGTGCAGCACTGCTTCGTTTGACTGAGGGAAGAGGAGCTTGGCTTAGGGATTACGTTCTAAACTGCATGTTGACGGTAGGGTTACGGGTCTATGGCGTCAGCCTGATTCCTCTGTCAGCGATAATATCATCACCGCAAAAAGGCTTAAGCACAGAATTCCCAAAAGGACCCCAAGCCAAACAGCAGGTTTACCCTTGGACACGCGGCTGGAGCGCCTCATCAACGTCTCGCGCGACTGCCTCAGAGTCGCGTCATCCAAGCCCTGTCGGAGGGGAAGGGCGAATGGGGGTGTTTAGGTTTAGGGTTTGTCTGTTGTGTAGTGTGAAGGGGGAATCCCGTGTGCGCAGGGCTTAAGGCTCTGAATGGTGAGTTTGAGTCTGCTTCGGGCTTTGGTAGAGGATCTTCGTGGGCTTGAATGCAGGGAAAAGCGTTCTGAAGTCAAAGGGCCTCTTGGACATTTGGCACCTGTCCCACGGAAACATCGGCCACCGTGATCACTGACTTCAGCACACCCTACTTGGTGGCTCGGGGGGCTTGTTAAGATGGTCGTCAACTAAAGTATCAGCAGGTTCATACTAGACCCCAGTTATACATTGCTAGTTATCACCTCCTTACTACGTCTCCTGATCGTTTATGAGCACCGTCAACCTTGAAAGCCCCAAGTCAAGAAAGAAAACCCAATTGCGGCTGGCCGCTCCTAAACTTCCTAAATCCACTACCGCAATTTAAACCCCTGATTCATGAGCACTTTTTAAAGGGCCTACATATGAGGATCCCAGTCAACCCTTGGTCTAATTTGTGTTACTTAACCTAGGGCCTACATCCCTCCATAAGCCTTTGTCTATACGAGCGAAAAGCCTTTATACAACCTCTGTCTACCGCTTCGTCACCCTTACGCAGGCCTTATGCAATCCGTGACGATCCTTGCAAGCCCTCTGCATGCAGAATCCTCGGCCATACAAATCTATGCAGCACCCTCACTTGTAAAGCCCCCACTTAGTTGCTGAGTTCATAAGCCGAAACAAGGGCAAACCTTGAGTTCTATAAAGGAGACTACTAGCCCAAAAAGTGTAAAGTGTACTCACTCAATCTCACTTTGCTACTAACCCTTAAAACTACACCCTAAACTGTAAACCGCAAAGCCCCAATAATCGTAAGTTAGCAGAACCCTTGCCCGTTTTGGGTAATTATACCACAAGTATAGGAATAACCGATTACCTCATCCATATAAGAGGATTATTCCTAAAATCCCTACTGCAACCCCCCAAATATCACCACTACTTCCCCATTACTAAGACCAGTATAGGAATAACCAACTACCCCATCCATATTCCCTAAGGTGGTATTCTCATCCCACACTGGGCAAGGGTTCGCTCATAGAGGTTACTAGGTTTAGGTTCAAAGGTTGTAATCTTAATGAGCTCATGTCTCGTAAACTCTTATGAAGTGTGTTTATATTATGAATGCATTACCCGATACAGTTTGGCAAACGAGCAGCTTTCACTGGTTTGTTCTGATTGCTTACTATTGAGATCCTTTACCTCATTATTCATGGGAATTTCAATTATTACCTTGTTATCCTGCTTACTAAATATCATAAAATACTTCTCAAGAAGCCCATCGTTCAGCAGTAATTGACGTGTATGATTAAACGCATTATCAATTTCCGATGGCTTGTCACCTTGCCTTTTGTATTTCTGACTACACTCTTTCCTCTTATCTCTGCATTGAATGCAATTTTCAAACAATTTGTTATTCTTGCTGCGTCCAAATTCTTCAGCTTTCGTTTACTGTCACACCTTGTGCATTTAACTTTTGAACGTTCCATGCTACGTATAAAAGACAAAATCATTTTTTCAGTCGCTTTCCGTTTATCATTGAAACCCATTTGTTTGCGTTTATCATTGTATGCTTTCATGCTATCTAAACATTCACAACACGTAACAGTGTTTTTACACTGCATTAAATACCTACCCGCTTTACAATGGTAATATCTCTTAAAACATATCAACGTCTTAAACTCTTTACATCTAACACAGTGCCTTTCACAATGTGAAGGATGATACTCAGTATTAAAATCCATGGTTATCTGATCAACATATTTTGTCCTATTATATCTTTTCCTCTATCTATCCTAACTAGTTAACTATGATAAACATTGTTTCAATCTAGTTAGGCATTTCCAGACTCTTATGGCGTGCTTTTGAATTACGCACATACTAGCTGCTTCATGAATTCAATGCATGAGGTGCAATCACGGGGGCAATACCTGTTGGGGGTTTTGAATCTTAAAAGCCCGATAGCTTAAAAGCTGAATATGGGGACACTGCCATAACAGAAAATAATTTCTATATTAAATTAATGAGTGAAGATATTCCTTAAGTAGAACCTATAGACATACCAAAATACAGTTACAAAAAGCAGCAAATATGAAATGATGCCAAGTATACCTGCAAGAATGTTATGTGTTGCTTTTTCAACAAGGGGCAAATCTGTTGTTAATACAACCTCTAATACTGAAGATCGACAGAAATTCCCTTGAGAGAATATGTGTATATATAACATATGTATATATATATATATGTATACATTCAGCCGTAGTGTGCATGTGGATGACACATGGAGAGCAGTCAGGGAATACATTTCAGACGTAATGAAAGTGGACACAAAAAAGGAAAACACGTACTATGAAGAGTATAATCCAGTTGGTTTAAAGCCATGTGAATAAAAACAAAACACAAGGTAATAGACTTCCAGAAGAGGAACAAGCAAAGGGAATTATTCAGTATTTTAATTGTGGTGAACGACTTGTGTAATGACCCTAAATTTCCAAGATACACCAATATCTTACATGGATTGTTCACCTGTGGAAGACATTCAGCAATTTCATGTGTTTGTCAACACAAAAATTTATATTGCCCTAGCACCTGTTATACGATTCAATAGCAGTGCATTGGTCATATTTAGACTCGAGGACATGAACGAAGTTAACTAATGCATTTATTGATGAGAACTCCGCTCTTGTGGATAAAACAACTTTACATGACATGTATCAGCAAGCGGTGAATTTTGCACCTTACTCGTTTTTTATATAAACACAAATGCTAGAGATGTTAATAACATGGTCGATATAAAAAATGAACAACGCTTTGAAATAGTTGACTAACACTATTGTTTCATAATAATACTATTGATCACTATCTACTTTACCTTTCTTTGGCAATTTTGCAATTTCGCCTTTCATTGTTGTCATTTCCTTTTTCGTTCTTCTTACCTTCTTCTTTCAAATCTTCATGTTCGACTATTAAATGCTGTAGTGCTCCGTGTGCGATTACTGCTGTTTTACAATAATCAAGTCGCTTATGTCCTTTATTATATGTTGCTATTATTCCTTCCCATCCTCGTGGTATTACTTGTTCAAAATCCTGTGCTATAAATCCCAGATGATTAACTGTATTCTTCTTTTCATTTAAATGTGTAAAACTAAATGTTTTCGGTTTTACATACTTAGTTATGTCATAGCATTTTAATTCTATTTTCAACTTCTTTAATATGTTCTTGTAATGAAAATCTGATGAATAACCAAAAGTGCCATCAATATAAATTCTTCGTGCTGCAATTTCAATAACTTCATTACGTGCTCCAACACAAGAAACTACGTCAAAGTTAATATTATGTAGACGGGCAATCAAGACCTTATTTGCGTTTTGAGTTGTTACAGCTATAGTTATCTCAAGAATAAGCATTCTTCAGAAAAGTTGTTAAAGCATAAAGACTTGTTGATATTATCATAGCAATGTTCACCGAAGAAGAGGACGAAGAAATCATTAACGCATTCATACATGTTAATACAAAGAAAACAGTTGTAGATGAAACAAAGACTTTGTGTCGCAGATGTAAACTTACAAAAGAATATCTTAATTTGTATAACTTGCCCATGCCAGAAAGTGCAATTAAATTAATGTGCGCATTCCATTACCAGGAATGCGAAACATGCGCTACACTAAAGGAGTTAACAAATCACGCTTGCGGTTGTGGCATGAAGGAGTTTGAACATACTATTGAAGCAATTGAGGAAAAACCTATGCATAAACTACGAGAAAATGAAGAAAGTGCAAAAACAAGGAAACACACAAATTTAATATTATGGAATTTAAACCCATTCCGAACATACAAGAAAGTCGTAAATCATATACTGAATGGAGACACTAGCAACCACAACCAGAAGCCTATAATGAAATTAAGAGCTGCTGTAACTCCCTATGGAATGGTAGCGATTGTTTAACAACATTTTATACCAAATTGCGGAACAAAGCAATAACAGAATACGACAAACCATTCAAGAAAAGATCGGATAATAAACAGAGGTTTTATGACTGTATAAACCCCCATATTGGACCAATATCCAATATTATGAAGAAACTTTGTGCCTACATTTCAAAACCGACAATGACAAGAACATAACAGTATTGAGCAGAAAATTGTATTCAAATAGCACATCATCTATAATACAACTATTAATGTTACAAGTTAAGTTCAACGACGGATATTCATGGCAAAAGTTTCTGAACACGAGATTTACGTATAAACCGAAAGAACAACGATTAAAGACACAAAACATTCCGAACACCTCCGAAGATTACCTTAAAACTATTGACTTTGATTGAATAACAAAAACCGTGACTATGTTCATTTTGATATCTAATACAAATTAGAACCCAAAAATTCCCTACCCCTGAGTTTTCAAACTTGAGTTTGATGAGTGTGTTTGCTGTTCTTGTCTTTGTTTGTGTTGTTCAATGTTTCGTATGCATGTATCAGTATGTTTAACATTGCACTTAAATACAACTAAAGCCCAAAATCAACAACACCATGTGTCAAACTTGAATTTGGTGTTTGTTTTCAGTGTTCTTGTTTTTGTTTGTTTTATGTTTCAAGGCGCTGGTTGGTGTAGAGGTCGCTCGGCTTCTTCTCGGTGGCGTTGTAGATCGCGAAGTTGCATGTAGATCGTCGGTCTCCTTGCAAGGCGTAACGGAGAGAGGAGTGAGCTTAGGGGCTAGGGTTCAGGCTTAAGGGGCTTAAAAACAGTCCCACAACTCCCAGTCCCGTAGTCCCGACAGCTTTGGGGCAACGAAGCCAACACCTTTGGGACTGACAATCCCGCGCCCCTTGGGACTGAAAATGTGGCAATCTTCTCACCTCTCTCATGCTCTTCACCTTCCTCCTCCTTTTCTTCCTCATGAATGGGACTGCTAAAGGTTGCTCGGAAAGCCTACAGACAGAAACATGGTCCTGCTCATGGTCTTTGAAGCACTGCACTCTTAACAGGTACTCATGAGTTCACTGCACTGCCGTCAACGGCTTTTATTGTCCGATGCACACCTGAGTTTGCATGTCCGCCGCTATTAATAGAGGGGAACTCCCACATTGGGGAGGCCTCGACGATAACGGCTAGAGCGACAAGACACTTGTCAACCAAATTAGATTCATAATCCTCTTCTGAGGCACCGCTCTTATACCGGGCAGATGCGGGAAGCAAACTGCAGGAAAGCCTTGAAACACGATTCAAGTGAACTGCGACGTCGATCAGACTCATTGCGGCGCAGATTCTCTTCATTGCGACGCTGATCTTCTTGATTGCGGCGGAGATCTTCAGCAATACGTACTCGATCTTCCTGCAAGCGAAGTCGATCTTCGTCCAAGCGACGATGCTCTTCTTCAAGGGAACGGTTCCATGCTTGCAATACTACCTGCATCGCTTCCCTGCTGCCGGACTGCAGGCCTGACTCGCAAAAACGCCGCTACCTTGAACCAAACATGTCGATCGATACGTGTATGCAACTGGTACGTCAAGCCAGGCTTTGAACAGCATGCATTCCCTTGCATCTACCATCTATCCCCGGAGCAGCTGTAAGCATTGTGAGTGACGTGGATGTGGTCGTGATTGGTGAGGAGTGACGGTCAGATTTCCGATCTTAGTCGGACCTTTATTCTTTGGATAAGTGGTGATGTAGGGTTGTACACCGTTCTGGCTTGCGTGATTGAGTGATTGATGGTCGAACTTCTGGTGGTACTTCTTTTGGCGGTACTTGTGGTGGCACTTCTGGTGGTAGTTGTGGGTGCTAGTGGTAGTTGGGGTGTACAGTGATACTTCTGGTGGTGCTTCTGGCGGTAGTTGTGGGGGTATTGGGTGTAGAGCCCTCAGATGGTCTGCACGGGCAACTGTATCACTTTCAAACCCTCGCTATGGAGGCACTCAAACGCCATGATCTGCTGAGAAGCCATGACTTCAAGAGGGACGGCGAGGGGACAAACGCTCTAACCTGTGAGTTGAGAACAGCCTTCGAATCCAAAAGATGGTTGTGCTCATGTGCTTTCAATGCCTCGGATTCACTGGCGGACTGTTGTATGCAAAAACAGATCCAGAACTCTAAAAACCCTAAAACCCTAAAGCCCTGAAACCCTAAAGCCCTAAAATCCTAAAACCCTGTAATCCTAAAACCCTGGAGCCCTAAACCCTGCATCCAGTCCTTCAGAATGTCGTGGTAGTCGTGGCAGTCGTCGTGTTCGGTTGCTCTCAGGGGGGTGCGTTCAATATTGCAACCTTGTAACCCTGAACCCAGTAAAATCTATTTACCTACTTATGCCCAATCTGATTTGGGTGTAACCGCCTTCATCCTAGGTAATTTCGTATATTGGATACATACTTTGTTGGTGTAGTGGTGATTTTGGGGGAATATGGTATATTTTGGATAGGTAAATGAGGTTGTTGTTGTTGTTGTTGTGATATAGTTGTTGAGAGTACAGGAAAAATCTTCTAATGGGTGGGATAGTGGTAGGCTGGTGGTAGGTAGTATCACCCCAAAACGGCCAAAGGTTCCAATGGGGAAGTAGTTTTGATATTTGGGGGAAGTGTTACGGAGTAGAGGAATAATCCTCTTGTAGGGATGAGGTATTCGGTTATTCCTATACTGGTATTGGTACTGGGGAAGTAGTGGTGATATAGTTGGTGAGATGCAGGGGGAAGTACAGGAATAATCATCTAATGGGTTGACTGGTGGTACTACTAAAAATGGGCAAGGGTTCTGCTAACTTAGTAGTACTGCAGTAGCAAGACTCATCATGATCGTTGTAAGTTAATAGCACAAAAAATTCTAAGCCTTATTAAGTCCTTATTATGGGTATTAAGGCACCCTACCCCGCTCCACCTAGTTCTCTAAGGGTCGTTATGATACCGAAGAAATGATGGAAGCATCAGGCCATTGAAACGCTCGCATGCCTTCTCGCGGAGGATCAAGCGCCATCGTCCACAAGGATCCCCCAAACCTGAAAATTCGGCAAGGGTCCATGTACCCAAATAGTAGAGGGGTTCCTTTAAGGGTTCTAAACGGGTATCATAAGGGTTTCGGGTTCAGGGTTTAAGGGTCCATGTACATACGGGTATTGGAGTTCGGGCTTAATGATTGATCTAGACTTTAAGGTTGAGTAACGTTGGGGGGGGTTAGGACAGTTGGTTCGCCAGTGCAGCTTGGCATTTTGACGGCAAGCGAAGGGGGCAAACCACGAAACTTCAATTCGTCGGTGTGCTAAGATTTTATCGCTACGTGATCTTTATCGACCTCGACGTGCAGGAGAAGCCAGAACGGATCAACAGCCCTCGCGAACCCAGAGACTCCAATATCCCTTAATTAAGGAATATACCTCAAATTATAGTAGGATCCTAAATATGATTTAAGTCTTATTCCTTAATTAAGGGGTATTGGAGTCTCTGGGAACTGTAGTGGTGCAGCAGTCTCACTTCAAATGCTTGGCTTGCAACATTTATGGCATTTTAGGCCAACGGCCCCTTTCAACTCCATGTCGGTCTGTGCCCTTACCCATAGGCCCCATTGTAGTTCCTTTGCGGGAATACGAACCCCACAAAGGAAGTACCATGGGGCCTATGGGTACCAATGTACATCGACACAAATCCCCCAAAACAACATTCCAGAGCTTCAGAGAGCTGGTCACCCAGCGTGAACCGTAGCAGTGCCCTTGAGTTTCGGGTTTACGGTTCAGGGTTCAGGGGTTTAGGGGTTTAGGGTTTGGCGCATAGGCCGGTATAGGGTATCGGATTTAGGGTTGCTACTTGAAGGCCCAGGGGACTTAGTAAGTAGGTTATAAGTAGGGTTATAACTGGGGTAACTCCGTTTAGGGTACTTATAACCTTACTTATAACCTACTTACTAAGTCCCCTGGGCCTCCAAGTACTGTCGCCGAGGTACTCAAGCCAGAGACCAGGCACTCCGGCACAGCATTCACGGCGGCACCGAGGCAGTTCGGACACTGCGTCTCCTTTGGCTTTGGGGGTTTCCCAAAATATGGGACCCTAATATAGTACCCGAAATAGTAGGACCCATATTATAAGGACCCCAAGTTAAGGTAGCCCTAATTTTCGGAAATTCAGACACTGCGTCTCCTTTGGCTTCGGCTCTAGTCTAGGGGCGAAGGGACATCCTATACACTCAAGCCTAAACCCAGATCCCTACCTTGAACCCCCCAAAAAAGGAAACAACCCTAAACCCTAAATCTCTAAAACCTAAAACCTAAACCCTAAACTTTAACTCTAGATACTAAACGTCGTAGGTGATCTCCAAACTCCGGTCCTCGCCAAACAGTCGGGAATCGCGGCCTTAGGAAAGGAGTCAGCGTCATAGCCACACTCATGACAGCAGCAGTAAAATCAAAACCCAACGAGGTCCATGATAAGCTATTGCCCAAATAACTGACCCAGCTGAAAGAAGACCGAGGATGCCCGGCATCTTGATAATGGTATCTGTTGTGAATACTTTGTTGCTTCGATCCTCGTTCACGGTTTGCTACAGCCACGCACCAGCAGCACAACTTCAAGTTACAGCTGCCACTCCTTCCCTCCGACCCTGCAGCCGAAAACAGTGACAGTCACCAAGAGCACTGCGTAGCAACAATAAGGGTAATATTGACAATAACAATAGCAGTTAAAACCAAAAGCCAGTACTGGTAACTACAACAATAGAGTAATGGTAATGGTTTTTCGACCACAGCGATGAGTTGGGAGAAGCAAAGAACACGATGATGACATGACCATGCTCACTAGGTGCCTCTGGATGCTCGAAGTTCGAACTGATTCTGGTGCTGGTGATGAAGCGATTATAATGGCAGGGTTGACATTAATTCTGCTGCTATGGATGGTGTTGCCTTTCTGCCTTATTCGATTCGCATACCTAGAATTGCGCAGAATGTGGCTATAAACCGACTGCTCTTCGTAGTCTCGTGCTTGCATATCCTGCTTGACACTTAGCTATATTACTAGGTCGTGCATGAAAGCAGAAGTCACAGCAACGAGGCCATGATGTAAACAGCTGTCCAGACAGCTGCACCACGAAATCATCAAACCTTAAACCATAAACATGGACCCCAAACCCCATACACTCTAAACACCCGCAAAATCTGAACCCAAAGCCACAACGCAGCAGCCTCAAACTCCCTACCAAGAGCCGTAAATCCAGGTCAGAAGAAGCCGAAACGCCTCATAAAGAACCTCCCCAAAACCAGCCTCTGAGGAAGCCACCTCTAAACCCTAAACCCTGAACCTGAAACCCTGAACTCCACACCCTAAACCTGGTAACCTTATATGCAATAAACTCTGATATAGGGGCCTTGATCATTAGAGTGAGGTTTTGGGGTCTACTATACTACTTTAATAACGAACACCAACTATTCCAATCAGTATGTGTAGTAATTTAAGCCTTAGGTCTACAATTTATAGATTTCTTAAAGGAATCCCAAAATATCCTTGAAAGGCCTCTACATTACTATATTACACCCACCCCCAAACTCCGAAAGGCACCTCGAGGGCTCGCACGAAGGTTCAAGAGCTCAGCATGGGCAGGCGGCTGCCAGCCATCGTGGTAAGCCTTTGAGGTTTAGGGTTAGTTTGAGGTTTAGGTTTAGGGTTCAGGGTTCCTGTTAAGGGTTTCCTTTGTGGGTTTGTTTGGGGGATTCCTATGCGGGCTCCTTTTGAGGGGTCCTGGAAGAGTCTCTACAAGGGAGTCTTCTAGGGGCTCCTAGAAGGGCTCCTATACTTGGAGGATCATGGGACTTAGTAAGTAAGGTTTTAAGTACCTTAATCGGGGTTACAAGTACAGTTACCCTAATTATAACCCTAGTTTCTAAGACCCATGCTCCTTTAAGTACCGGTTCTATAGGGTTTAGCGGCCTATAGAAGGGGTTTACAGGGCCATAGGGTTCAAGGGTTTATATAGGGGTCAAAGGGTTTAGGATTGGTTCAGGGTGGGGCTTCTTCTTTCGTTTCGGGTCTAGTGAAGCTGCAAGCTTCTTCTTACGGTTTGGGACTTCGTCGTTTCAGCGCCCTTGGGTACGTGGAGGTTCATGGGTGGTTATAAGTAGGGTGATGAGTAGGGTAACTATACTTTTAACCCACTACTTACAACTACCTCTGAACCTCCAAGTAAACCTGTACAGTCATTACTTTGCGGATAGTACATTCAGGGCAGTCTATCATGAAGCTAGCTTGGTGTCCGGAATCTGGGCCTGCAAACTGGGCCGAAAACCTCAACAAAAAGCTGCTTAACGGTCAGCGTTGGTTGTGCCCAGCTCCCACTCAATGACTGCACACACCGGCTGGACGCACACCTGGACTACAATGCTAAAGGGCACTGAAAATGGTTATCATGGGCCCTCCCCTCACCCTAATTAGCATTGTAAAACCCAAACGGGGTGTAGGGTCCCACGTAAGCTACGGACCCACCGGGTCCCGTCAAGTACGTATCGGAGCACGCGCAAGGCTGGTGGTTTTGAGGGCGCGATTTGGGTCCAGAAAATTCTCTTGCTTCCGGCTTCAACATACCGTGCGTCCATAGTAGAGCATAATGCACCAAAACCCTGTCCGAAGCATTAAGGTCGAACCCCTCCAACACCCCTATAGAATCGTCTTCATGTAAGCCCGGTAGTCCTTCCTTGGCCTGAAATCCTCCAAGCCTTAAATCCTAAGTTCCCTGAAACCCTAAACGAACAAAGTGCTTAACCCTAAATCCCAAACCCGTGAACACGGAAGCCTACACCCCTAAAGCCCTGAACCCCTCCGAGGAGCTAATGACAGGCGCAGGAGAGAGTCTGTTGCCTCCCAGGCCCAATTCTTGATCTCCTCCACGGCTCTTTGGGCTCAGAGTTTGCAGGGTTTAGGGTAGAGAGCTTAAGAGCTTCAGGGCTTGATGTAGGGGCCTTGATAATTAGAAGAAGGTTTGGGCTATATTGTACTAGTATCTTAATAAGGAGCCCCCAAAACCCCATTCTGACGATGAAGGCTCCTGTAATTAGGGCTGCAGGCTTGTGGGAGCTTCTGGCAAAGTCTTCGCAAGGTCTCGGGGCCGAATCTTGTACATCCATTTGGGTAGCTACTTGTCAAAATGTGGGCCCCTTTTTGGGTACCCCAAATAGTAGGTGCCGCATTGTACTAGGGACCCAAAAAGGGGCCATAAAAAACAAATGACAACCGCCCATGCGTGTTTCAAGCAGGAGCCCTAAATCCTCTGAGCGCTTCACTTGACTCTATGCCCTCATTTCCAAACCTTAGGAACTTCATTTACTTTGGTGTTTCAGGACTTTGGGTTTAAGGGTCAGGGAGCTCACGTTTACTGTTTAGGCGGCTAGCTGGGGCTTTAGGGACATCCAGCCGAGGCTTCAGAATCCAACGAGTTACGGGACAAGGGTTACGGCCCTTTGGTTTCAATTCGGGGTTTCAGGGTGTTCAGGGTAACCCTCGTTCCTCAACCCTAAACCCTCAACCCTAGACCCTCAGCCCACGACCCTAAAACCTCAACCCTAAAGCCTAAACCCTTAACCCGAAACATTAAACCCTCAACCCGCAACCCCCAAAACCCACACCCTAAAACCTAAACCCGAACCCTCAACTCGAAAGGGCTGCTGCCTCTTCGTAGTCACCCTTGCAGTCATCCAGCATACAAGGAGAAGTGTTGATCTCCTCAGGGGGGAGTTAGTTTTTGTTAGTTTAGGGCTTAGGGCTCTGGGTTTAGGATTCGGTTTCGGGTTTCGGGTTTAAGGTTTGGGGGGGCGGGGGGCGTTGTTGATCCTACAGCGGTGTTGTAGAGTTTAGTATAAGGGCCTTATACACGGGCTTACAGGGTTCCTCACAGGAGGATTCCGGGAATGTTCAAGTCCGGATCTCCTTTCAAAGGCGATGTCAGGTTTTCGGGCATCTGTCTCATGCCTGGGCCTACTCGTCGGGTATCGTGGGGAACTAAAGGTTCACCTTTTTGGTTATATGGGGGTTATATAGGGACTATACTACCCAGAAAAGGTTAAAGGTTACCTTCGGGGGAGGCTCCTGGGTTTACTGCTGCAGTGAGATGAAGAGCCTCGAAGGCTTGAAGTTTGGGGTTTAGGCGTTTAAGGGTTGATGGGTGTAGGGGTTTATGGGTTTATGGGTTTAGGGCTCTCTGCAAGCCTTAACCCTAAATGGAAATCCTGAAGCCCTCAATCCTGAAATCCTAAACCCTGAAGATGCAAGGGGCCGAAACCCTAAACTCATGTACGAGGGCACAGAGGCTCCATACTCTCTCATGCACAGGCGGATCAGCCCAAAAGCACTGATTTTAGGGTTTCGTCTTTTACGGTAATTGGGGTTTGAAATGCTGTGCCTGAAACTCTAAACCCTTAACTCGTCTCACAAACCCAACCGAAGAAGTCCTTTCATCCTGCTCTCCGGCCGGAACTCTGGGTTTAAAAATCTTTCGGAGCAGTGTGGACCCGGGCTTAGGGTTATAGTTCAGGGGGCCTTGGAGGTGTCGGGGTGCAAAGGCTCACATCGGGGCCTGGATAATTAGACCAGGGTTTTCGGGCATGTTCTAGCATAACTATGGTAAGGAGCCCCGTGAATAGTGTTGGTAATTGGTTAAGCCCAGTGTAGTACAGGTGACTATTCAGACGTGCTTCGAACAACCACGGTCTCCAGCTGTCGTCAAGGCCTCGCAGCATACGGCTGAGCGCTGCAAGTCTCTGGCATAGGGCTATACAACAGCTAGAGGAACATAGCGATCGGACTGGACGTAACAATGGTAGACTTAGTGACGTAGTGGTTGTGGTCGTGTTTGTGTGGTTGTCGTCGTAACCATCGTCCTCGTCGTCATCGTCCCCATCACAACAGTAGCAGTAGTAGAGGCAGCAGTAGCAGAAGAGTCGCGGAAACAACGGCAGTCGTAGTAGTAGTAGTAGTAGTAGTAGTAGTAGTAGTAGTAGTAGTAGTAGTAGTAGTAGTAGTAGTAGTAGTAGTAGTAGTAGTAGTAGTATGTAGATGTAGATGTAGGTGTGGGTGTAAGTGTAGGTGTAGATGTGGTGTAGATGTAGTAGTCGTAGTAGTAGTCGTCGTCGTAGCAGCAGCAGCAGCAGCAGCATGAGAAACAGTGTGGGTGGCTGAAGCGAACATACGCTTGCTGCCGCGCCCATACGTTTCACCGGCTATCTCACAAGCGGCCCTGCACCAGGGTTGATGATATAAAGCCTGCATGACCTTAAGGACCCTAAACCATCGGAATTATGGTATATTCCTTATTATGGGTAATGCAGGATTTATATCATCAACCCTAAACCCTATAGATCCCTTAAAGGAACCCCCTTAAAGGTACCCCTATAGATCCCTTTAAAGGAACCCTAGGGATTTATATCATCAGCCGCAGTACAACCTAGGTAACATGGAGCCCTCGTGGACACTCAAGCCTACACGGCCGAGCCTAAGCAGCTAAAATAACCCTAAACCAATACTAGGATACCCAGTAACCTAAGAATAAAAAGGCCTCTCTTTTTGGTATTGGGTAACTTTATAAGGAAGCTAGGACTACAAAAAGGGAATAAGGGTACTACTGGAGATCCTAGAATAACACTCCCAAACCAGAACTCCCCAAAGCCCTACTAGACTAGCTACAACCTAACCCCAAACCCTAAGCCCAAAGCACGACGTCTTCAATCTCCCCAACATACTGCACACTCTTAGCCCGTAGACCCCTCAACCTTCAATGAAACCCCTAAACCCCGAAACTCTAAACTCCAACCCCTAAACCTGAACCCTAAACCCCTAAACCCTGAAACTCTAAACTCTAAACCCCCAAACCCCTAAACCCCGAAACCCTGAAACCATAAACCCCTAAACCCACAAGAAAGCCCAGCGGCCGAAGTCCAGCCCAAAGAGCTCCTCTAGGCTGAGGAGGATTTCGACTACTTTGGGGTTTAGCGTTTCAGGGTTTAGGGGTTTAGGGTCTAAGGGTTCAGGGTTTAGCGTTTAGGGGTTTAAGGTTCAGGGTTTAGGGGTTTAGGGTCTAAGGGTCTAGGGTTTAGGGTTTGGGGGTTTAGTAGGGTTTCAGGGTTTAGGGGTTGAGGGTATACGGTCTAGGATTTCAGGGTTTTGGGGTTGAGGGTTTAGGGCTTAGGGTCTTATGGGCTGGGCGACTTGGACCCGGGAGTACAACACACAATGCTGGGACCTGTACATTGTAAAACGGTTTTGGAGTATGCATATACGAAAATGTATACAAATGTCTATATATATACATATGTATACAGATGTCTACATTTACGGAGCCTATACAGGTATAATCGTTTTTGAGATTATGTTTGATAGCCGCCTTGGGTGCACAGTACAATAACTCTCGCAAAAATATTTTAAGGAATAGCCAGGCTGAAGGTTGAGGGTTGACAGTACTTGGAGGGTCAGGGGACTGAGCAAGTCGGTTATAGGTACATAGGGCTATAATTGGGGTAACTTTAGTTAGGATACTTATAACCCAACTTCTCATCTACTTACTACGTCACCTGGGCTTCAAAGTAATATCGGGGGTTTAAGGCTTCAGGGGTCTAAGCGATTTGGAGATTCAGTGATTTCAAGTTTTAAGGTTGCGGTACTTACGACTCATTTTAAGTTTTTGTTTAAAGGGGGTGCTGGGGTTTCAGGTTTAGGGATTTAGGTTAAGGGCTTGGGAGAATTTGGGTTCTAGAATAGTGTAGAACTTTAGGTTCAGGGCTCGAGGTCCGGTGGGTTCCGGGGTTTGAGCGTCTTGGCCTTAGGGTCGCAGCCAAACCCGACTCTCCGAGCTCTTTGAACCTCAGCTCTGAGCCACGGTTAAGGGTCCAGCCTCTGCCAGATTTTGAGTCAACGTCGGCCGTAACCCTAAACCCCTAAACCCCTAAACCCTAAACCCTAAACCGATTCATCGGGTGATTGATTGAATGCACCAACTTCTGACTCTTCGGGCTCAGGTGCAAATGCCGAAGGCGACGACATCTTCGGCTTGTCCGAGTACATGGCCTCAGTTTAGGATTTGAGGGTTTAAGGTTTAGGATGTTCAAATATTTTCTTATTTTATGCGGGCCCTTTTCCAGGGTTTAAGGTTTAAGGTCCGCAAACAAAGCACAGGATACAGAGCTGCAGCTTCGCCGAGAACCCAATACCCTCTAGTTTAAGGAATACACAATGAGTTCTAGTATACCATGGTATGGTTTTAAGGTTTAAAGTCCTTAAGTAAGGAACATACCGTAAATTGAAGGGGCTTGATGCTACGGTTTCTATTAATCATGCATATTTCTTAATTGAGGGGTTAGGCTTCCTGGGGTTCACCTGTGTGGGGTGCCAAAGGAGTCAGGCCGCCATCGAGTTGGGAATTGAGGGCTTGAGGTGGCCTCTTGTATAGCCATTTCGAGACTATTTAGACTGCTGATTATTTTACATGCCCCTGCACCCTGAACCCTATAGAAGTCTTAAGCGTCAATGCCTACACCTAATTACCATTGAACGTCCGTAAGTGGAACCAAGGTCCCCTAATGATCTCACAAAGCACTTACAAGCCCACATTCAAAGATGAAAGAGTGCCCCACATATTGTGCACTGAACTCCTACCCGAAGCATAAACCCTAACCCCTAAACCCTTAAATCCTAAACCCTAAGCCCAGCCCTACACAAAGGTCACGTTGGATATCGCGCAAAGCTCACGTTTCTGCGGGTCACCGGTCGTGTGGCCAGCAAAGCTGCGCGAACGGCATCCAGTAGCCTCCGACGGCCCATTGTATATAGGGTGTACGGTTTAGGGTTTGGGGATTTAGGGGTTTATGGGGTTTAGGAATTTAGGGGTTCAGGGGTTGATGGGTACAGAGGTTTAGGGGTTTAGGGTTTATGGGTTTAGGGGTTTAGGGTTGGAGCATTTTGGGTACCCAGGCCTTCCAATATCCCTTGAATCATGTTCAGGATCCTACGTATAATTCTTTCTTGATAAGGGATGTTTGAAAGTCTGGGTAGTTAGAGGCTTCTGCAGTGCAGGACTTTGAAGGGCAGTATATTGTTGCTTTGGGTTTTACAAGGGTGTGCTGCGGGTAAACAGGTTCAAGTCGAAGCGTCTCCGGTGGTGGGGTTTGGGGTTTTGGGGTTCTGAGTGCTGTTACAAACAACCTCCTTGCAGGAGGGAGCCTACAGGAATTCCCGGTCCCACCAAAAAGGAGTGGCACCCTAAACCGAAACCCTCTTTATGGAAGCCTTACAGGAACCCCAAACCCCGTCCTTTAAGCAATCCGAATCGCTATACCCCTAAGAAAACCGAATAAAACCCGGAGAGGGAGCCCTTTTCTCCTCCCTTTAAACCCTAAACCGTTTTCCCCTGCCTGGGCCAAGTGTAGTTCTGCCAGCGCTCCGCTGCAGTGGGTCCCATCTGCTCGAAGAGGACCTCTGCGCTTGACTTCGGGCTTGGGGCTTTAGTCATAGGGACCCTTAGGCGGGTATGGGGAGGCGGGTAGGGGGCGTTAATACCTATAATAAGGACACAAGAAGGCCTATTTAAGGAAGTACAATCTCCTGACCCCTCCCTCCTTGACCCCCTCAGGGTGCCTATGATTTATAGGGTTTAGGGTTCCAGGTTTTAGTGCTTCTGGGGTTTAGGGTCTAGGAAACTGTGGATCTCTCTGGAGGGCTCCCCTTTAAAGGCTTGTTGATGGCTTCTTTAAAGGTTCCTATGAAGCCCGCTGTCGTAGTGGGATCTACTCTTTAGAGGGTTTCGTTGGGGCTCTTCGGGCTTCATCGGCTTAGGTTTCCCAATAATTTTCATGTATCTCTGCAAGGTTTCGTTCACACTTCGGAGGCTTCCTACATGATTTGTACGGGGTCTGCATGGACTTGCATTGAGTCTCTATATATGGCTTGTAAAGAGTTCTGAAAGGTTGTGTCATGGGCCGAAAAGGGCTCGAGAAGGGTTCATTTAGAGCTTCCTCACTTTATTTGGGGTTTTTGGGTTGACAGTTTTCCGAATGTTTAAATGTTTTATGGGTCTCAAGGCTGATTTGCAGGTCTCAGAGGAATGTATAGGTTTTAGCAGTTAATTTTGGGTTTGAAAAGGACTCTAACTTGGTTCTACGGACGCTCACGCTCTTTCATGGAGCTTTAACCGGGGGGTTAGCTAAGATTAAGGCCTTGGGGATAAGGGTTGATGGACTCCGACCTACTTGTCGCGTATCATGGGGCACTAAAGGTTAACCTTGTTGGTTATATAGGGATTCTATAGGGACTATACTACCCAAAAAAAGCTAAAGGTTACCTACTCGACTACGAGGCCGAAGGAGAACCAGCCAAGTTCCGAAGAACTGTTGAGTCCCGCAGGTCTCCTACAAGTCCTGGGGTACCAAAGCCACGTAAACCCCGAAACGCCTCAGAAACCTATGCGATCCCATGGGGCCCAGTAAACTAAGGCCTTACGAAAGCCTGAGAAACCCTTCAAAACTCAACAGCCCTGAGCGCTAACAGCCGAAGACCGCAGACTTTTCACCCCGACGGAGGTCCTTCATGGGTGTGCGATTCTCTTCATCACGGCAGTTGGTCTTATGAGCATTCGGGGCCATGGAATCCTCGGAGACAGCTGCGCGGAGGGAAAAGGCAAGCTACAGTTTAAGGTCCAGGAAAAGGCGTGCAGGCCATGTGCAGTCGCAGCAGTCGCTTTGTGGATTCTGCCCACTGTCAAGAGTCTCAGGGTTTGGGGCTAGAAGCCAATCATCGAGCTGAGAATTGTGGGATTTGGGAGCTTGGGCAACATGAGGAATGAGTCGCTTTGTGTCGAAAAGACCCATCTTGAGCTTCGGCCACGCGTACGGTTCAGGGTGTCGGTTTAGGGCCTCGGCAGCCTTAGCAAGCCCTTGAACCTTTTTCTCAGGCCTGGCGCAGCCTGCTACCGTTCGCGAAGGATGATTCGATAACCCTTGCTCGGCCTATTTATGCATATTTGCTGTAGAATTGCCTGATGTAGGATACTTAGGATGGAAGCTCCCAGCCGTCCGGTGTCGGATCCTCTACATTCTACTCCACCATGTATGTGCGACTCTCTGCCATGTCAGTGAAGTCCTCCGTGAACCCTGAATCCCGTAAACCCCAGTCCCCACCGAGAGGCCCCGGGGACTTAGTATGTAGTTTATAAGTAGAGTTCAAGTACCCTAAACGGAGCTACCCCCCCCTATGACCCGAGTTATAACCGATTTACTAAGTCCCCTGCGCCTCTAAGGCAAACCTAAAGCCCCCTTATAGCTTATCGAACCCTTAGAGATCCCTTTCAAAGAGCCCTTTAAGGAACCCTAAACCCTTTAAGCAAACCTTTGAGGAACCTTGGCTACAGGAACCCTAAACCCCTTATAGCTTATAGAACCCCTCCAAAGATAACTGATAGACCCCTTTAAGGACCCCTTAAAAGGGAAACCCTAGGTCCCTTTAATAGGGGACCCTAAAATAGTACCCTAAATAGTAGGATCCTTATTATCAGGGCCCACCAAAATAAGGTAACCCCTATTGGGTTTAGGGTTTAGGGCTTAGGGTTTCGGAAACTCCCAAATCAAGGAAGAGTTGCCAACTCGAAGGGCAACGTGGCCACTCGGAAGTAGACTTCCGGATGCACGAAGGCTGTGAGCGGATTCCAGTCCTGAGCATGAATATGGGAAACCCATACATACTAAACACACACACACATATATATATATATATATATATATATGTACACATACAGACATACATAAATACATACGTAATTGCATACGCAGGTACATGAATACACAGGTACATGCATGCATGAGCACTCTTGGTATGGCCTACTCTTCCATTAGCGGCTTTCGCAACTGCTTTCTGACTGGTTGACATAACGGTTGGCTTGCCAGTGCTTGTTTCTGGGACATATTGGCTTAACTGCAATTATGCCATGACGGCACACCTTACACTGGCCAAATTACTAGTGGGTACACTCAAACTTATGCGCAGTAACATGTCTACGGCAGGACACTTCGATGCTTGTTTAAACCCATCCACATGAAGCCAGGCGCTGCCAGGGCATTTAACAGGAGACTTGGGCAAATGAATGCCCTTCGCGTCGGATACGGTTGTGGCTTGTGCTTTACTTAAAGTCTCCGTTGTAGTTCCAATTTTTGGGCTTGGTCAATTTTTACGTCTGGGATCCAATAACGTAACCCAAAACAGGAACTGCAGTGGAGACTAGAGGTAGGGTGGCGAAGGGATTTTCCCAACCCATGTGATGCAACAGTGCCAAACAAACATGACGGACCATTCCGCAAACGCAAAGCTTCGCAGCCTCAAGCTTCCGAGCGCTTAGAGTACAAACCTAGGACCTATTAACCCTAAACCTCATTTGCACACCCATGTGCCGTGTTGGTCTCCTAAACCCTAAGCCCTTGACCCTAAACCCTGTTGGGATACAAGGCCCAGAGTCCAGCACCAGCACCCAGGCGCGCAGGTCGCATTTCGCAGGTCCCGTGGAGCGAGGGACCAGTAAGGGACGCTCGATGTACTTCTGTGCCTAAGGTTGTGGCTGTAGTATTCGGTTCGTTGCAAGGCTTCTTTCAGGGCTGGGTTATGAGGGCTTTAGGTGGGGGTTCGGATTTTGAGGGTAGACTGCAATTACAAGGCGAAGCAGTTTTGTGAGGGTTCGGGGTTACAGGGATATCTGCACCTGTATGAAAGGTCGGTCTACCATTGCATATATAGCCTATCATTATCTGTTTTCAAACAGTGGAGTTTAAGGCAGGTCGTACATTGACATGTGTTTTAATTTGTACATGTCAAAAAGTATGCATACCTACATACCTGCAATACTTACCTACATACGACATACATACATACATACATACATACATACATGAATACATGAACACATACATGTACATACATGCGAGTCACTACATTACATTACGTTACATAATCATACATACATACAAACATACATGCACACAGAAGTACGTAGATGCATGCATGCATGCATGACCACACGTCACCATACGTCATCGCCCATAGAGCGACAACGATTTCGTTTCTTACATGATATGGGAGTTTCCGAAAATTTGGGGTACATTACTTGGGGGTCCATATAATAAGGATCCTACTATTTACGGTACTATAGTAGGGTCCCTCATTTTGGGAAACTCCCATTTGCCTAGAGGGCCCTCTAGTTAAAGGGACCTAGGGTTCCCTTTTAAAGGGACCCTTCAAGGGGTCTATAAGGGATCCTTAATGGGGTTCTATAAGCTATAAGGGGGTTTTGGGTTTTGGGTTCCTGTAGCCAAGGTTCCTCAAAGGTTTGCTTAAAGGGTTTAGGGTTCCTTTTAGGTTAGGGTTCCTGGTATGTTGGAACCTTCAGCATCCACGGGAAGCCGTGGAGCTACGCAGTCCCGCCCCTGCCCCGCAGCCCGGTGAGTCTCGTAGGCGGTGAGGATCTTGGAAAGTCCTCGTTGTTGCATATGTGTGTCGATGTACATATATATATATACATTCATATGTCCATACAAATATATATATATATATATATATATATGTGTATATATATATATATACACATACATATACATATACATATACATATACATATACATACATACATACATGCATACAATTACATACAGCTGTCTATTTTTGTATACATGTGCATATGTATATATACACATATACACATGTGTATATGTATATGATTGTATATGTATATGTATATGTTTTTGTATCTTTTTGCTTACTGGCAGGTGAAAGCGATCCTGTGAGGACGGTGACGCCCTTGCCCTTCTGCACGCAAGGCTCCTACAGTCAGGCTCCGCTCAACTTTGACTGGGTTCTTGCTTGGATGGCCAGGGGACTGAGTAAGCAGGTTATAGGTACGGTTATAAGTACCCTAAATGGAGTCACCCCAATTATATCCCTACTCCTGGGCCTCCAAATGGGTTTGGGGTTTTAGTGTAGCTACGAAAGCCTGAACCGCAGCGCAGGTTTCAGGGTGTGCACCTTCAAGCCGTTTGTAGAAAGACATGAGACGATTCGGATCATGCCCGTGGCAAAACGATCGGAGGCCTCAAAGGGTGGGATGAAGGTAGGTGGGATATTCCCAAATATGAGTCCGTATATAAGGGATCCTTAATCCTACCTACCTTTATCCCACCTTTTGAGGCCTCCGAAACGATAGGTTTGTACGGGATACGCACACGCGGCCTCTTCTGATATGGGCAAGCGAGTGCAGTACCAGATCCTATACCATAAGAACCAAAGTAACATATGCATATGTGGCTAAACAACTAAGCGAATCCATAAATACATAGCGAAATAGGTAACCAGATGAACTGCACATCTGAATCCTGCGGGCTCCATTACTCTGAACACATATCTGTCCGAATCTTTGAAAATGTCCGCACGCAAAGACAGTGCACGATCCGAGGCCAAAACCGAGGCGCTCAAGGAACCCGACTCCACCACACACCCAGCCCAACATTCAGGCTCTTTGGAGTTTAGTGTTGAATTGTAGGGTTCATGGATTGGGGTTTTGCTTTTCGACTGTAAGATTCTAGGGCTTCAGGATGTTAGGGCTAAGGTTTTCAGCGACGTAGGGTTTAGGGTAACAAAGTCCGAAAAATTCAGCATTATTGTCCCCTTCTAGTCTTCGTTGTAGTATACCTTAATTGCCCCCTAAACCTATCCTAACCAGTTAGGCCCCATATTGAGGTGGATCTTACCCCAAACACCTAAACTCAACACTCTAAAGAGGCCTTGAGAGCCCAGACATTGCCAGGACCATCCAATGGATCTTGCCGCAAACGTGAGGCACAGGCACATCCAGCAGCTCCACCTTCGTCACTTGGGGCTCAAGGGTTGAGGGTCCCGTAGACTAAGCTGAACCCAGCATCATTGACTCCAGAATGCGAATTACGCTACATGACCCTACTGAGGACGCTCTCATTGTCGGGGACCCCCGTTGTTTCCAATAATATGGTGGCCGCAATGTACGAGTGGAATAGGGATTCTGGGCATGTTCCGAATATGTAAAGACATCTAAGCACTCTCCGGGCACATTATGACTATGTTCGGAGTCCTATGTTAGGGAAGCGAGATCGGAGAACGGAGCTTTAGCCTATGGCAGGCTTCCAGGTCAGTGCCAATCAAAGGCGAACATTTAGGGTTTAGGGTCCTTCAGAGAAGCACGTCATTCTCGTAGCAGTCCTCATCACAGGCAACGTGCTAGACGAGAGTGTGAGAGAACCAGAGAATTTGACGAGTTCTATCCACAAGCTTCATGCCGAGGGATACGACAAAAGCCGGGGGACTGGAGACTGCGATGCAAGGTGCTTGTCAGTGAAACCTGTCTCGCATTTGATTGAACACGCTGCAGCATTACTCCCCGGCATTAGCCCGATCAGTGGCATTGACGTGGCACATCAGGAGCAGTCGTCATCGCCGTCGTCATCATCGTCGTACCCCCACCCCGCTCGCAACCCTTGAAAACTCTAAGCCCTAAGCCCTAAACCTTGAAAGCTCAAAACCCCGCGGTCGTGGCAAGCCGAGTTGCGGCTTGTGCTGGGGGCATGCTCGGCGCTGCAAATCACACATTCGGCCCCGGACTTCATGTACTGACTCAGGAACCTGGGTGTTTAGGGTTTAAGGATGTAATGTAGGGGCCTTCATAATTAGCACAGGGGCTCCTGTAAAGGGTTCTTTAAAGGGTCTATAGGGGATCTATAGTAGGTTTCGATGATGTAGAAGCCTTCATAAATAGAATCGGGTTTGGGGGCCCATTATACTATAATTCTACTATAACTCTAATAAGGAGGCCCCAAAATATCATAGGCAGCTATTAAGGCCCCTATATTAGTGCACAAGGGCTCTACCGGTCTATCCGGGCCCCTAAGGATTCTGGATCCAGTGAGGCAAACATTTGGGGATTTCCGAAAATAGGGGACCCTTATATAGTACCCTAAGTAGTAGGATCCTTCTTATAAGGACCCCAAAATAAGGTACCCCTGTTTTCGGAAACCCCCATGTGGGGATAAGTCGGACACCTGATCAGCAAAGCCGGGCAAACTCGGATCTCTGTTGACTAAAACCTGTTCTAACTAAGGGAGAGTTGTTGATATGCATCACCTTTCTACACCGTTGATCTTATGCTTTAGGGCGCTTTGGTGATATCTCTGGAGGTTGCGCTTTGTGGTCCGAAAACTTGCCCGAGGTGTCATCGCAGTCAATCGTGGTGGGTTGCCGGTCTTCGGGGATTCAGGCTGTCTGATGTCAGAACGTCGGTTTAGGGTTTTTTTTTTAATGTGCAATGACCCTTTCTCCGCTGCAACAGAGGTAATAATGTTTTCAGACCATCCCAAGGGTTGCAGGGACTGGGTCTCATAAGTTTAGGGTTTGGGGTTTTCAGGTCTGCTTGCAGATCCTCGAAAAAGGACACGCTTGTGTGTCGCAAAAACCGTTTCCGAAGTGCAAACCGCTAGCCTGCAGTAAATGTAAATCCCAACGCCAATGTCTCGAAGTACGTTGAACCTAAATCCTCATCCCACACCCTAGATCTCCAAACCCAAATGCCTCAACCACTGAACCCACTGAGACCTCCAAACCCTGAATCCTAAAACAAACCAACGCCCTAGACCCCTAAATCCCTAA